TTTTTTTTTAATTTTTCTTTCTTTTTTTTTTTTTAATTTCTTCTTCTTTCTTCCTTTTCCTTACTGGGCAATCTCACATAGCTTGTGAAATGCATCTATTCTGAACAGCAAGCACTGTCTTTCTTTTTAAAGTTAAATATGTAGTAAAGCCAAAATTAAATTGAAGGTTTAATTTTATTTGGGAACAGACACTGAACACACAGGCCTGATGATCCTGATTCCATAGCTGCCATACTGCTGTTTGATCTGGGCAAACAGCACAGGCGTAATTCATCTCTTACCTCCTTGATAACGCGGTCAAAGGAAGATGAGACTTCTTTCTGTACATTTCCAGGTCCTAACTCCTAGAAATAAAAGTCAAAGAAAACAGGGATCTTGATGGTTTTTTTTTTTTTTTTCTTTTTTAGAGATGGGGTTTCACCAGGTTGGTCAGGCTGGTCTTGAACCCCTGACCTCGTGATCTGCCCACCTCAGTCTCCCAAAGTGCTGGGATTATAGAAGTGAGCCACCGCACCGGCTGATGGTTTTTATTTTTATTTCTTTTGAGATAGGGTCTCCCTTGGTCACTCAGGCTGAGTGCAGTTATATGATCATAGCTCACTGCAGTCTCAACCTCCTGTGCTGAAGTGATCCTCCCACCTCAGCCTCCCAAGTAGCTGAGACTATAGGTGTGTGCCACCAGGCACAGCTAATCTTTGATTTTCTGTAGAGAATGGGTTTTAGTATGTTGTCCAGGCTGGTCTCAAACTGTTGGATGCAAGCAATCCTTCCACCTTGGCCTCCAAAAGTGCTGGGATTACAGGCGTGAGCCACCATGCCATTTTGATGGTTTCAAACAGAACTATCCAAACTGGTAGCCACTCCTTATGACAACACTCACTGAGATGAATGGGAGACTGACTGCTTGGCTTTTCTCCTAAACAGGCCCCAAAAGCAATAATAACTTGCAAGGGAAAAGCCCTCATGCTTCGAAATCAGCTCCAACATACCTCACCCTTGTCACTCTCCTGGTAATGCTATAAAAGAAAAGAAAAAAGATGATTAGCGTTATTACGGCATCATGTGAGAGAAGACACAAAATGAAAACTCTACTGACAGAAAGTAAATTAGCTGGAGCTTTTTTTGTTTTTGTTTTTTTGATTTGTTTTCTGCAAATATTCCGTTAACTTCTACTCATTAATCAACAGGAAATACGGATTTCCAAGATAAACTTGTTTCTAAGTTTAATGTACCGGTCAGCTGGAAGAAAAGCAAATGCTCATGAAAACTCTTCTTTGAAAGAAGAAAAGGGGACAGGTGCAGCGGCTCATGCCTGTAACCCCAGCACTTTAAGAGGTCGAGGTGGACAGATCACCTGAGGTCAGGACTTCCAGACTACCCTGGCCAACATGGTGAAACTCCGTCTCTACTAAAAATGCAAAAATTAGCAAGGAATTGTGTCCAACGCCTGCATCCCAGCTCCTAGAAAGGCTGGGGCAGGAGAATTGCTTGAATCCAGGAGGCAGAGGTTGTAGTGAGCCAAGATCACACCACAGCACTCCAGCCTGGGCAAAAGAACAAGACTCCATTTCAAAAAAAAGAAAAAAGAAACAAGAGGTAAGGCCGGATGCAGTGGCTCTCACACCTGTAATCCCAGGACTTTGGGTGGCTTTGGAAGGCTGAGGCAGGTGGATCATTTTAAATCAGGAGTTCAAAACCAGCCTAGCCCATGTGGTGATACCCCATCTCTACTAAAAACACAAAAATTAGCTGGGTGTGGTAGTCGGCACCTGTAATCCCAGCTACTCGGGAAGCTGGGGCAGGAGAATCACTTGAACCCAGGAGGTGAAGGCTGCAATGAGCTGAGATCACACTACTGCACTCCAACCTGGGCAACAGAGCCAGATTCCAGAAAAAAAGAAAAGGGGCTGGGTGTGGTGCCTAACGCCTATAATCCCAGCACTTAGGTAGGCTGAAGAGGGAAGACTGCTTGAACCCAGGAATTCAAGACCAGAATGGGCAACATAGCAAGACTTTGTCTCTAAATAAATAAATAAACCTAAATAAATATATTTTTTAAATTTTTTATTTTGAGATGGAGTGCACTGGCACAATCTCAGCTCACTGCAACCTCCGCCTCCTGGGTTCAAGCAATTCTCCTGCCTCAGCCTCCCAAGTAGCTGGGATTACAGGCACATGTCACCATACCCAGCTAATTTTCTTTTTTTAGTAGAGATGGGGTTTCGCCATGTTGGCCACAATGGTCTTGATCTTTTGACCTTGTGATCTGCCTGCTTCAGCCTCCCAAAGTGCTGGGATTACAGGCATGAGCCACCGCGCCCAGCCTCAGAAATAATTAAAAAATAAGAACAACAAAAACAAAAAAGAAAATTCAAGAATGTTATTAAACATACAGTTTTAACAGAAAATTAGTAAAAATATAGCCCAGGGTTCCCACTTTTCTCATGGAAAAGGCACGACCAATACCAAATTAAGGCAAGACTCTTCTTCACTGCATAAAAGGACAGAGAATTGGTGCTAAGTCTGAATAGCTGAAATCGCCTCACTTTTTATTTTGTATCTGACCGTTTCTAAAACAAGCAAGAAAGGGTTTTTTTTTCCCTCTCTTCTAGAGAAGAGACCATGAATACTGCCGGGGCCCAGAGTATACTGCAAGAGGAATTTTTTGTGGGATATTTTAGAAATAGACTGTGAGCTAGGTAAAAAGGAAAATTATCAGTTGAGAGCTCCTTGTGTAACCACCAGTTTTATTGTTTTCTTATTTTTTAATCTCAGTTTTATTATTTTCTAGCCATACCAGATTTAAAAAATAGACAATATTTTCTCTTGTAAAAAGAACTGTGTTTCAAAAAATCATGGGCAAGAGAGTATATGTCAAGATTAAGCAAAGTATTGTATTTTGGCCAAATTCCAGGTCCTTGGCTAGCTTCAGGTCTCTAAAAATTTTCACTCATGGCCGGGCGCGGTGGCTCAAGCCTGTAATCCCAGCACTTTGGGAGGCCGAGGCGGGTGGATCACGAGGTCAAGAGATCGAGACCATCCTGGTCAACATGGTGAAACCCCGTCTCTACTAAAAATACAAAAAATTAGCTGGGCATGGTGGCACATGCCTGTAATCCCAGCTACTCAGGAAGCTGAGGCAGGAGAATTGCCTGAACCCAGGAGGCGGAGGTTGCGGTGAGCCGAGATCACGCCATTGCACTCCAGCCTGGGTAACATGAGTGAAACTCCGTCTCAAAAAAAAAAAAAAAAAAAAAATTTTCACTCATTTCTATACTTTGTTTTTTACTCCATTGATACAGTTATCTAACCTGTCTTCTACATTTCTCTAATTTCATTTTAATTCTTGTTCAGATATGTAAAATTATTTATTGTAAAGGTTAATAATGTTTTCAGCCCTGCATACATCTTTCTTCTTGACTGCACAAGCAGCTCTGAATGCTAAGTGTACTACCAACTCTGTCATATTTCACTGGACTACATTTGGAGCATATTTAGGGTACCTGGTTACCTCAAATTTGTCTTACTTTACAGTTACATAAAGTAACCTAGCCTCAAGTAGTACTTTCACTTTTTACCTAAGTCTATACATAAACCTCTTTGGCTAAATGACAACTGCCTTTCCATATGTAAATTTCATGGAAGTAACACCAACAATTTCACTGAGTCAAGAGTGTGGCTGGAAAAGAAAGACCAGTAATCAATTCACCAAAGACATGGGCCCAGTAAGACTCAAAAACTCTGACTCATGGACCACCTGAAATGGTGCTTCCAGATTCAGTCCATAGGACTGACAACAGTTAAGTATATTAAAAATAACAGGCTAAGAGGCTGGGCGCGGTGGCTCAAGCCTGTAATCCCAGCACTTTGGGAGGCCGAGGCGGGTGGATCACGAGGTCAAGAGATCGAGACCATCCTGGTCAACATGGTGAAACCCCGTGTCTACTAAAAATACAAAACATTAGCTGGGCATGGTGGCGCGTGCCTGTAATCCCAGCGACTCAGGAGGCTGAGGCAGGAGAATTGCCTGAACCCAGGAGGCGGAGGTTGCGGTGAGCCGAGATCGCGCCATTGCACTCTAGCCTGGGTAACATGAGTGAAACTCCGTCTCAAAAAAAAAAAAAAAAAAAAAAAAAAAAGAATAGCAAAATGATTGAAGGGTTAATCAGATTGCATGTGAGGAACTGGCTAAAAAACCTCTTTAAGCCGGGCGCGGTGGCTCAAGCCTGTAATCCCAGCACTTTGGGAGGCTGAGGCGGGTGGATCACGAGGTCAAGAGATCAAGACCATCCTGGTCAAAATGGTGAAACCCCGTCTCTACTAAAAATACAAAAAATTAGCTGGGCTTGGTGGCGCGTGCCTGTAATCCCAGCTACTCAGGAGGCTGAGGCAGGAGAATTGCCTGAACCCGGGAGGCGGAGGTTGCGGTGAGCCGAGATCGCGCCATCGCACTCCAGCCTGGGTAACGAGCGAAACTCCGTCTCAAAAAAAAAAAAAAAAAAAAAAAACCTCTTTAATTCAAACTTCCTTAATTCGGATCAATGAAGGATGAAGAAATATATATAAAATCCAAGCCAAATAGGTCATGAAATTGTTTTAACAAAATCATTATTTGCTCATCAGATGTTACAACATTAGAATTGGCCAGGCACAGTGGCTCAAGCCTGTAATTCCAGCACTTTCCGACGCTGAGGTGGGCGGATCACGAGGTCAGGAATATAGAGACCATCCTGGCTAACACGGTGAAACCCTGTCTCTACTAAAAATACAAAAAAGTACCCAGGCGTGGTGGCATGTGCCTATAATCCCAGATACTCAGAAGGCTGAGGCAGGAGAATTGCTTGAACCCAGGAGGCAGAGGTTGCAATGAGCCAAGATTGTGTCACTGCACTCCAGCCTGGGTGACAGAGAGAGATTCCATCTCAAACAATTATGCCTGGAGTGCAGGGCATAATCTCGGCTCATTGTAACCTCCATCTCCTGGGTTCAAGCCCTTCTCATGCCTCAGTCTCTTGGGTAGCTGGGGTTACAGGCATGTACCACTACACCTGGCTAATTTCTCTATTTTTACTAGAGATGGGATTTTGCCGCTTTGCCCAGGCTGTCCTCAAACTCCTGGCCTCAAATGATCCACTAGCATTGGCCTCCCATACTGCTGGGGTTACAGGCATGAGCCGCTGCACCCCACCTTGCCTTCTTTATATATATATATATTTTTTTCCAAATATAGTCTCACTACGTTGCTAAATGTGGTCTTGAACTCCTGGGCTCAAGCCATCCTCTCATGTTGGTCATTTCTCAAAGTACTGGGATTACAGAGGTGAGCCACTATGCCTGGCCTTGCAGTCTTAAAGTACCACAGACAAAGCTGAAGTTTCACCTCTCATCCCTCCCTTTTCCCACAAGTAACCTACCATGCCTCCAGGTACAATTTGGTGAGGCTTTTTAAAAAACTATAAACATTTATGTAATATAATGCACAGAATAGTGTGCAAAACACAATTGTACAATGTAAGAAATAATTAAAAGACAAACATCCATGTAGTCATGATCTAGGTCAAGGAAAATCCTTTTTTTTCCCCTAGACAAAATCTCACTCTGTCACCCAGGCTGGAGTGCAGTGAGGCAATCCCAGTTTACCACACCCTTGACCTATGGGGCTCAAGTGATTCTTTCCCCTCTGCTTCCTGAGTAGCAGGAACCACAGGAATGTAACACCACACTTGGCTAGTGTTTCGGTTTTTTAAAATTTTTGTAGAGGAGGTTTCACTATGTTGCCCAGGCTGGTCTCAAACTCCTGGCTCAAGCAGCCCTCCAGCCTCAGCCTCCAAGAGTGCTGAGATGACAGGCATGAGCCACCAGATCCAGCCAAGGAAAATCATTGTCATCCCAGACATGTGGTTCCTCCTCTCCATCTCCCCATAAATAACCACTACCCTGAATTTTATGTTTACTTTGCTATATTCTGTTTTTTATTTTGGGGACGGAGTTTCGTTCTCGTCGCCAAGGCTGGAGTGCAATGGCACCATCTCGGCTCACTGCAACCTCCATCTCCCGGGTTCAAACGATTCTCCTACCCCAGCCTCCCAAGGAGCTGGGGTTACAGGAATGTGCAACCACATCTGGCTAATTTTTTTGTATCATTAATAGAGACAGGGTTTCACCATGTTGGCCAGGCTGATCTCGAACTACTGACCTCAGGTGATCCACCTGCCTCAGCCTCCCAAAATGCCGAGATTACGGGAGTGAGCCACCACACCTGGCCTATTATATTCTTTTGTAAAAAAATACAAGTTTTTAATAAAAAATATGTTACCAGGGTAACACAAGAAATAAAAGGAAAATAGCTTCAGAAAAAAAAAAATGTATGTTTTAGTCAGCTTCCTTCTTCTTTCAAAGAAACAGAGCTGTATAGGTGACCAAATAAGTGTATGTATTTAATTTCCACTCCGAATGACTGGGTCAGAAGAGGAAGGTATGTAGATCAAAATAAAATACTTCTTTTTAAAGGAATTTCCCTTGCTTCCCAGGAAAGAAGAAAAGATATTTCAAGAAAATGTTTTCCAAGAGGAAGAAAGGACAGGGTTATAAGCCTATCTTTTAAATTGCTCTTGATAGGTACAGAACAAACTGTGCCTAACAGGTAAGCAAAATCTATGGGAAGATCGACTGAATTTTCCTCTTACCTGTAAGACTTTACCGTGGACCACGGTTCCAAGGACTCCCGAACACAGTCTTGGAGTTAAGCCTGTGAACAACCCACGCCTCCCATCGATACTGGCAATGTGCTGAGCTAAGAACACAAGTCAGAGACGTAGTCAAGTTCTAGTCAAGAGAAATGGATGTACTACAATTTCAAACAAGCTTTCTATATATTTTCTTTCAGTAACAACTCTGCCTATCACAGTCCTCAATATCATCCAAACCCAAATAAATCAAACACACTTACCATAACAAAAGAGACCAGGAAGCTGACACACTTGCCGCCCAAAAATATTTCGTCCTATTGTTGGAGGAAGAGGCTCATATCCCACCTTTAAAAACAATGGAATATATCAATATTAAGCAATATTTCCAGAAAAGTCCTGCTTGCAGGGTCTCAAATAAAGAACAAAATTTGGGTTATAATTTTTAAACACAAGTAAAAATGCAGCCTATGTTTTCCAAGGCAATGATGAAGTATCATTCTTGTAGGTTTTTCTTCTGTTGGTTAATACTGAGTTCAATAAACTCCAAGTTTTGTTTTGGTTCAAATTCTATGAAGTAAATCATATAGCTGAGACAGGTTAATATCAAACTGAAAATAAAAGAAGGGAACTTTTGTGTTAGGAAAGCTACTGTTTACTAAGGAGGCGGAAAAATACTTTCTAAATAAAATCTAAGGCATATTTTATATTTGAACGAAATGAGAAGACATCCGCTACGCAAGCATCAACTGCATATTTGGCTACCTACACAGAACACTCAAACGGCAAATGCAGATACAGCTGGATAATTCACTCAGCAAAGAATTACAAGATAACTTCATGTTAGAAGAACAGGCTGTCAGTGGCTCATGCCTGTAATCCCTGCACTTCAGGAGGCCAAGGCAGGTGGATCACCTGAGGTCAGGAGTTCAAGACCAGCCTGGCCAACATGGTGAAACCCTGTCTCTATTAAAAATACAAAAATTAGCGGGGTGTGGTGGCAGGTGCCCGTAATCTCAGCCACTCGGGAGGATGAGGCAGGAGAATCACTTGAACCCCAGAGGCAGGTTGCAGCGAGCCAAGATTGCACCATTGCACTCCAACCCAGGCTAACAGCAGCGAGACTCCATCTCAAAACAAACAAAAACAAAAACAAAACAAAACAAAGGCTACCATTAACAGCTAATGAAGGTCATTTTATACGGTTAATGATTACCATGGTCTTTGTACAACACACTCAGTATTTTTAATACTACACATACTTGAGAGAATAAACACTGTAGGACATAGTTTTGATGACAGTTCTGACTCTTAGCCTGTCCTGGCATGGTGGCTCATGCATGTAATCCCAGCACTTTGGGAGGCCAAGGTGGGTGGATCACCTGAGGTCAGGAGTTCGAGACCAGCCTGGCCAACATAGTGAAACTCCATCTCTACTAAAAATGCAAAAATTAGCTAGGTGTGGTGGCAGGCACCTGGTAATCCCAGCTACTCAGGAGGCTGAGGCAGGAGAATCACTTAAACCTGGGAGGCGGAGGTTGCAGGGAGCAGAGATTGTGCCATTGCACTCCAGACAAGAGTGAAACTCCATATCAAAAATAAACAAATAAATAAATAACTCCTGCCTGAGCTCTCTGAAAGTGCTACCAAGTAACTAGTTTTATTTTTATTTATTTACTGATTTATTTTTTAGAAACTGAGTTTCCAAAAAACTCTTTTTGGCTCACTGTAACCTCCGCCTGCTGGGTTCAAGTAATTCTTGTGCCTCAGCCTCCCAAGTAGCTGGGATTACAGGTGTCCGCCACCACACCCAGCTGATTTTTGTATTTTCAGTAGAGACAGGGTTTCGCCATGTTGGCCTGGCTGGTCTTGAACTCCTGACCTTAAGTGATCCGCCTGCCTCAGGTGCCCAAAGTGTTGGGATTACAGGCATGAGCCACCATGCCTGGCCCAAGTATCTACTTTTACAACTGACTATTTGGGAATTTCACCAAAACTCCTGAGCTACTTGGCAATACACAGAAGTTATGAAATCAGAATTGAGGATATTGAAAAGTTTTTGAGGCAAGAGCTCTGAACATCTCTAGAAAACCCCATCTCCCAGAGAAGTATTGAGTAGTGGATTCCAACTAGATATACTGAAACATGCTGTCATCTCAGATGCTATCTAGTTCCAAATTTGCCAATTCTGTTTTAGATGTCACAGTACATTCTAATCAGTCTTTGTTTTAGGTGCAAATAATTCATTTACAATAGCCTTTGACATATGGAATCTGAATTCACAGGGGTCTATTGAGCAAGAAATAATTAGGATTCCGAACAACTCAAGAGTAAGAAATGTGGCCCTCTCTAGTGTCTTGCCTATGTTTTACAGAAAAGTAGACAGTGAGGACAGGGGTTCTAAAAACTGTTCCATTCCTAGGCACAGTGCAGGAGGTAATTATGTCAACTCTCAATAAAGTATTTTTAAAAATGACCTGCCCATTACAGGACTATTCAGAAAAGGAACTGGAAACACTATCACCTGGCTTACCTGCATGTGAATATAATACCATGTAAGAATTATTTGACACTAGATTAGAAACTAACTCCCATGTTTAAACTCGCTAAAACTCAGCTTAACTAATTTCCAGCTTTGACAAATGTGATTTTCATTGTCAGGAGCCACATGGGGTGCTGCTGGAAAGCGCTCAATGCATCCTTCCGAAAACTGACAGCGCAATCCCTTCATTAACACTTCTGAATGAGCGCCTTGTGTTTCTCTGGATATCTGGTGCGAAAACCTCGGAACAGAGGAGCAGTAGTAACAGTAGCATAAAAATTAAAAAAAAAAAAGGAATAAAAAATAAAATGTTGGTTCCCACCTAACTTCACATTTGTCTTCAACTGAACATTTCATGTCCTGCGTCTGAGATTTTGGGGGGAGTGGTGAATGTGAATTTCAGAGGGGCGAGAGGGAGGGTTCGGAAGACCTCGGTGGTGACCAGCCAGGATCCACCTCAGGGAAGAAGAACCAAAGTTCAGAGGATCCGCCGTGCAGGGCAGGGCAGAGCATAGTGGCAGTTGGCTAAAGGGAGGAATGGGCCTCAACGCGAGGCGGGGAGGCAAGAGTTCGGCGAGGCCCCCGAGCGAGGCCGCAGGACGGAGGAAGCTGTCCCTGCGGGGAGGGGAAAGGGCAGCAGAGGAGTAGCAGCAGCATCCCGGGAGAATGAAGGGCCCGCAAGGCTGAGGCCGATCCTCAGGCGCCCTGAGCAGCGGCGACCCAACGGGGCGCCGGGCGGGGAAGGGAGCGGCGACGCCTCATACCTGGATGAGCACTTTCACGTACATGAGCGGCTGGGACAGGATGGTGAGACCGGAGCCCAGGAGCACCTGACTGGCCGCGTCCGCCATGATGGCACCCGCGGACGGACAGACAGACGGAGCCACCAAGCGACCCGGTGAGCCGGTCCGGGGTCACGTGCCAGGGCCGCCGGTTTCACTGGCCCGCCCACGGCGAGCGCGCACGCACGCACCGGCGCGCGCCTCCCCGCCCAGTTCCCGCCCTCTGCCCAGCCCCGAGAAACGGCAGGCGCTCGCGATGGGGCGCTGGGGTCGGGGCGGGGCTTATGGGACGGAGGCGCATGCGTTCTGCCGGGGGCTCGTTCTTCGCCAGAAATGACGGTTTCTCTTGCACATGCGCTGTCCCCAAGTGTCCGGAAACAGAATGGGAGTGGCAGTGGGAGAGTGTGACCCTGACGGCAAAGGCAAGGTCAGAGGACTGAAAAGAATTGAAAAGGATTCTTCGTTATGCTTCATCTCTGCACTTGCCCTTTGGGCATCATCAACATAGGGTTCAAAGGATATTCGGCATCAGAGCCCTAACAGTCTAGTGGCTGTCTGATAGCGAATCATGAATCCGCTAGCGAGTTGCTCTTCATTATTTGTTTAATTAATGTTATCTTCTCAGAAAAATCTTCTCTGACCATTCTAAAATTCTAAAATCACCTCCCCCTTCTTTTCTCTCCCTTTTTTTTTTTTTTTTTTTTTTTGAGACGGAGCCTTGCCCTGCCACCCAGGCTGGAGTGTAGTAGTGTTGATCTCCGCTCACTGCAACCTCCACCTCCCAGGTTCAAGCGATTCTCCTGCCTCAGCCTCCCGAGTAGCTGGCATTACAGACATACGCCACCACACCCAATTAATTTTTGTATGTTTAGTAGAGATGGGGTTTCGCCATGTTGGCCAGGCTGGTCTCAAACTCCTGACCTTGTGATGTGCCCACCTTGGCCTCCCAAAGTGCTGGGATTACAGGCTTGAGCCACCACACCCAGCCAGCTCCCCCTTATTTTCTCCCATATCACCCTGCTCCATAGCATTATCACTGAAATTATGTCTCCTCCACTGGAATGGAAGCTCCATGAGTTCAGGAACCATGACAGCTTTTGTTCACGGTTGAGTTTTCAATGTCCAGCACATACGAGATGCTCAATAAATATTGCACAAGCAAACAAATAATTCAGTGCTTTCCAGTATACAGGCTATCAGAGGCAAAAATGAAAAAGGCATTTTCCCTGCTCCTTCACAGCCCCAGCTCACATGTTCTAATTATTTATTTTATTAATTATTATTATTTTCAGATGGAGTTTCAGTCTGTCACCAGGCTGGAGAGCAGTGGCACAATCTTGGCTCACTGCAACCTGACTCCCTGGTTCAAGCAATTCTCCTGCCTCAGGCTCCTGAATAGCTGGGATTATAGGTGCACACCACCATGCCCAGCTAATTTTTATATTTTTAGTGGAGACAGGGTTTCACCATGTTGGCCAGGACAGTCTTGATCTCCTGACCTCATGATCTGCCCACCTCAGCCCCCCAAAGTGCTGGGATTATAGGCATGAGCCATCGCGCCCGGTCCCAGCTCAAGCGTTCTATCAAACATTTGGTGAATCAGAGCTTGGAGCTGAGTGAAGTACTACTGGGAAAAGACTTGGATTTGCACGCTGACCTTTCCACTGCATTTCTTTGTCATTTTAACCTCTTTGACTTACAGTTTTTGTATTTAAATCTAACACTACTTACTATGTACCTCTCAGGGTTATTATGAGCATTAAGTGAAATTGTACATAGGAAAAGATTTTTTTAAAAAACTATATTGGCCTGGTGCGGTGGATCACACCTGTAATCCCAGCACTTTTGGAGGACAAGGCAGGTGGATCACCTGAGATCAGGGAGTTCAAGACCAGCCTAACCAACAGAGTGAAACCCTGTCTCTACTAAAAATACAAAAATTAGCTGGACATGGTGTTGGGTGTCTGTAATAGCAACTACTTGGGAGGCTGAGGCAGGACAATTGCTTGAACCCGGGAGGTGGAGGTTGCAGTGAGCCAAGATCACGCCACTGCACTCCAGCCTGGGTGACAGAACAAGACTTCATCTCAAAAATAAACAAGTAAAACCAGCATTTGTAATTTTTTTTTTTTGCATCTGTATTTTTATCTGGGATTACAGATGCCTGCCACCATGCCTGGCTAATATTTTGTATTTTTAGTAGAAATAGTGTTTTGCCATGTTGGCCAGGCTGGTCTCGAACTCCTGACCGCAGGTGATCCACTTGCTTCAGCCTCCCAAAGTGCTAGGATTACAGGTGTGAGCCACTGTGCCTGGTCCAGATGCTGGTTTTAATTAATATTGTCCTATACTCAGCACAGTGCCAGGTGATACTAGGAGTCAGTTTATACAGCAGAAGGTGCATGGGTTTTGAGGCCCAATGGACCTGATCCAAATTCCACCTCTGCCAGTTATTAACTGTGTGTCCTGAGGCAAAGCACATTACCACTTTGAACCTTAGACAAATATGTGTAGTAATGTATACTTCACAATGTTCCTGTCAGGAAATAACATGCCTACGCAAGCCAGCACACACACACACATACACATGCACAATATCAAATGATAGCCTTAAAGTTATAAGAAACAGCCAGGCATGGTGGCTCACGCCTGTAATCCCAGCATTTTGGGAGGCTGAGGCGGGCAGATCACCTGAGGTCAGAGTTCAAGACCAGCCTGACCAACAAGGAGAAACCACGTCTCTACTAAAAATACAAAAATTAGCTGGGCGTGGTGGTACATGCCTGTAATCTCAGCTACTCAGAGGCTGAGTCAGGAGAATCACTTGAACACGGGAGGCGGAAGTTGCAGTAAGCCAAGATCATGCCATTGCACTCCAGCCTGGGCAACAAGACTAAAACTCCATCTCAAAAAAAAAAAAAAAAAAAAGTTGTAAGAAATAAGTTGCCTCTAACTGAATCTAGAAACATAAAGCTGAGCCAGAGAGGCTATTTAGCAAGGGGATTTTTTTTTTTTCTGAGATTGAGTCTTGCTCTGTCACCTAGGTTGGAGTGCAGTGGCACGATCTCAGCTCACTCCTCTGTTGCGCAAGCTGGCGTGCAGTGGCACGATCTTGGCTCACTGCAACTTCTGCCTCCCAGGTTCCAGCAATTCTCTTGCCTCAGCCTCCTGAATAGCTGGAATTGGTGTGGGCACCACACCCGGCTAATTTTTGTATTTGTAGTAGAGATGGGGTTTCCTATATTGTCCAGGCTGGTCTCGAACTCCTGACTTCGTGATCCACCACAGCACCTGGCCTCAGATTTGATTTTTAATTAGGGTCACCTTAGCCACTCTATCAAAGAAAGGCCAGGGTTCACAAAACTGGAAGCTGGGAGACCAAATTTAATAGTTTAGGAAAACAGGCTGGGCGAGGTAGCACACAGTTGTAGTCCCAGCTACTCGGGAGGCTGAGGCAGGAGAATCAGTTGAACCTGGGAGGTGGAGGTTGCAGTGAGCCGAGATCAGGCTACTGCCCTCCAGCCTGGGTGACAGCATGAGACTGTCTTAAAAAAAAATAAAAGTTTAGGAGAGCTGGGTGCAGTGGCTCACGCCTGTAATCCCAGCACTCTAGGAGGCCGAGGCGGGCGGATCATGAGGTCAAGATATCAAGACCATCCTGTCCAACATGGTGAAACCCCGTCTCTACTAAAAAATACAAAAATTAGCTGGGCGTGGTGGCGTGCGCCTGTAGTCCCAGCTACTTGGGAGGCTGAGGCAGGACCATTGCTTGAACCTGGGAGGCGGAGGCTGCAGTGAGCTGAGCTCGCACCACTGCACTCCAGCCTGACACCTGGTGACAGAACGAGACTCTAAAAAAAAAAAAATTAGCCAGATGTGGTGGCATGTGCCTGTAGTCCCAGCTACTCGAGAGGCTGAGGCAGGAGAATCGCTTGAACCCGGGAGGCGGAGGTTGCAGTGAGCTGAGACTGCGCCACTGCACTCCAGCCTGGGAAACAGAGTGAGACTGTCTCAAAAAAAAAAATTTTTTTTTTAGAGATAGGGTCTAGCTATGTTACCCTGGCTGGTCTGAACTCCTGGCCTCCCAAAGTGTTGGAATTACAGGTGTGAGCCACCACACCCAGTCAAGTCCATCTCAGTTTGGACCAGCCCCATTTTTTCTTCTTAAAAAAAAAAAGAAAAAAAATTTGAGACAGAGTATTGCTCTGTTGCCCAGGCTGGAGTGCAATGGCGCGATCTCAGCTCACCGCAACCTCCACCTCCCAGGTTCAAGCGATTCTCCTACCTCAGTCGTCTGAGTAGCTGGGATTAGAGGCATACACCACCATGCCCAGGTAATTTTGTATTTTTAGTATTGACAGGTTTTCTCCATGTTGCTCATGCTGGTCTCAAACTCCTGACCTCAGGCTGTCAGGCCCCCTTGGCCTCCCAAAGTGCTGGGACTATAGGCGTGAGCTACCGTGCTCAGCGTGTATATTCTTTCTTTAAATATGGGGGAAGCTTGGCATGTTTTGAGGCTACAGCAAAGTTGCTGGTAGAGAGGGAGAAAGACAAGAGGGGATAAAGCAATGCAGAAAGTTTGGGAGGATAAAGTAGAGAGACTGAATTGAAGCATAAGGTGGAGAGATTAGCCTTAAACCCAAAGTTAGGCACTTTTCTTTCTCCAAGAACAAAGAAAAGAAGCCAGGCACAGTGGCTCACACCTGTAATCCTAGCACTTTGGGAGGCTGAGGTGGGTGGACCACTTGAGGTTAGTAGTTCAAGATCAGTCTGGCCAACGTGATAAAAACCTCTCTACAAAATATACAAAAATTAGCCAGATGTGGTGGCACATGCCTTAATCCCACCTATTTGGGATGCTGAGGCACGAGAATCACTTGAACCTGGGAGGCGGAAGATGCAGTGAGCCCAGGTGGTGCCATTGCACTCCAGCCTGGGAGACAGAGCAAGACTCTCAAAAAAACAGAACAAAGGAAAGAAGGGTGGACAGGAGTGATGCCAGCTCACCACTTCCGAGTGCTCTCTGTGTGTATCACTTGAACCTGGGAGCACTCTGCTAAGGGCATTATGTACATTTTCTGAAACTGAATCTTTGAGAGGGAACTTGCCTAAGGTCATAAAGCTATGGATTCAGCCTTGGAACCCAAGCATCCTGATGCCAGAGTCTAGATTCTTTTTGGTGGGATGTTCCTTATTTTGGTTTTGTCTGACTTTTTTTCTTTTCCTTTTCTTTTTTTTTTTTTTTTGAGATAGAGTCTCGCT